AAATTTACACTCCTAGTGAATAATCGTAACGCTCAGTAACAAATGGAGAGCATACCCCAATCTCCATGCATTACTGTACAGAAGAGAGAGAGAGAGAGAGAGAGGAGAGAGAGAGAAGGAGAGAGAGAGAAGGAGAGAGAAGCGAAGAGAGAGCGAGAGAGTAGCGGAGAGAGAGCGAGAGAGAGAGAGAGCGCAGAGAGAGCGGACGAGAGAGAGAGAGAGAACAGGAGAGATGAGAGAGAGAGAGAGGAGAGAGAGACAGAGAGAGAAGAGAGAGCCGAAAGAGAGAAGAGAGAGAGAGTAGAGAGAGAAAAGATGAGAGAGGAAGAGAGAGGGCGAGCGAGAGAGAGAGACAGAGAGAGAATGAGAGAAGAGAGAAGAGAGAGTAGAGAGAAGAGGAGAGAGAGAGAGAGAGAGAGAGAAGAGAGAGAGAGAGAGAAGAGCGAGCGAGCGAGAGAGAGAGAGATGAGAGAGAGACGAAGAGAGAGAGAGAGAGAGAGAGAAGAGAAAGAGAGAGAAGAGGAGAGAGAGAAGGCGCGAGAGAGAGCGCAGCGAGAGAGAGCGATCCATGAGAGAGAGAGAGCGCAGAGAGGCGAGCGATGAGAGAGAGATGACGCAGAGAGGCGAGCGAGAGAGAGCGCAGGTAAAGGGTAAGGTAAAAGGTAGTTAAAGGTAAGGTAAGGTAAAAATAAAAATAAAAATAATTAATAAATTAAAAAAATAATGAATTAAATAAATTAATAAATTAAAAATAATACATACTGAAGAGGTAGGTAAAGGGGATAAAGGAAAAAAGGGGCAAATAAGTTCTCCAGCTGGGACTCGAACCCAGAATCCCGGTGTAGGAGGCGGATGTTCTAGCGATTATGCCACTGCGCCGTTAAGGGTATGCACCATGGATTTACAAGTACGTGATGTTAATCTGTACGCACCGCCATCTATTGATGAATAGAATTTTTATCAATTTTTAACTTTTTACATTTTTTTTTCTGTCGAGGAACACTCCCCGGGTATAGGAATTCGCTCGCTGAAAATTGCATCCGGATTGCTTGGGCGGTTTGGCTGGGCATAGGGGACATACATACAAATGACATACAATGAAATATAGATTAGATAATAATACTATTATTAATAATAATAATAATAATTATTATTATTTTTATTATTATTATGGAGACTATATTATGACACTCCTGATATCACAACACCAGCATTCTTGAAAGTCTCCTTTAGAAATGCCTTCCTAGTTTCAGCAACTAGGTGTAAAGCGTAGAAATGGGACTTGCTGCGGAGCAGGCCGATCAGATGCTGGCCTCCCGCGTGTGTGCTCGCTGATGCGAGACTGATGAGTTGCCATCGAGGAGGGAGGCGGGCTTGTTGTGTGCTCCACGCACAGGTGCAAGCCAACTCCCCACGGACGGGGAGACTAGAGAAGGGGGGAGGGAGGGAGAGGGAGGGAGAGTCGCTGCCTGGCAACGGTTTTCCATTCATCCATTCGGCTACTGCACGCATCGCGTCGTACGAAAATTGCCGCGTGTGTGTGTGTGTGTGTTTGCTCGTGTGTCTGCGTGCCTACGTATTGGACCGTGATCCTTCGTCACTTTGTTGCTTGTGGAAAATTTGAAATTGCCTGACGATGTCCGCGATAGTGTATCAAATTATCGGGCTGTGCGAAAATTACACCGATTCCGTGTGCAAGGTTATGGTTAGCTGAGCAGGGACGTGTCTCAGTTTAACGAGGAGAGCTTTTGTTCGCTTTGCAGGAAAGATTCCGTGTTTTTCTTTCTAATCTCGCAAGAACTTAAAACTTGTTCGCAAGAGCGTACGTCAATCCAATTAGTTTTCCAACCGTCGGGAACAGATTGGCGCGTTAATTACTTGGGGAAAAAACTCGTGACTTTAGACAATCAAACTACAGTTAAGATGATCGGCTTCTCTGATGTCTTACGCGGCAAAAATATGTAAACTTTTTGTGCGCCAGAGTTTCGTGACCAGGTGCAAGCACGTGTAAACTAATCTAAAGAGGAAATAGAAACTTTCTGTTGGAATTCCAACGGACATCCACACGTATTAGTATATTATCAAGATTACGATAAGGCTGCATGCTGATTTCTTTACTCGATGCTTGAGTGAAGTCATCGCCAGTGAATAACTGATTTGACGTTTTTAGGTATATATATAGGGGGATTATACGGTTTTAAACCCACAGACAAGTTCCCGCGTGGAACCTGCACCAAATGCAGCAGAGCTTGCGGATTAGAAATCAAGTTTTTACACTGGGAAAATTTCAAATCAAGAGTCTCGCCTTGCACACGTGCAAATTCAGTAAAAGGATCGACAGTTCAAGAAAAGAAAGAAACAAACAAGATCACAGACAGCAGAGATTCGTATCTATAGAGCCTGGAGTGTACTGTGGGTATAGTTAGTCGAACGCGCCTTCCCCCATCACAATGAATACGCTGAGAAGGAAGAGTGGTACTCTGAAGCGTAAATACGACAGCTGGAAGAGGCACAGTTTCAGCAGCCTGTCGTCTGCACTGTCTCTTTCCGTCACCACGGGTGACGAAGGAAGCAAGTCCGGCACCCCAGAGCACGGTAGCATCCTTAAATTCGACTCGCCCCAGGCAAAGGGGAAGCTAGACGCACAGCATAGGAAGCTAGAAATGCGCAAGTTGAAGCAGCGAGAGAGGATCTACTTGCGTAATTTTTCTACGCCGAGCCTCGCCCACAGGAAGCCCTCCTCGAACGCGTGCAGGGCGACAGAGGAAGCTGCTGCTTGCTGTACGGGGAAGGACGATGTGCGACTGCCTAGCAGGGCTCCCACTCTATCTTCATCCAACAGGTTGCCCGAGGCAGTGTTCGGTGACAGGGACGTGTCAGAGTTCACAGGTAGCTAGTAGCATTCTTGCTATATCTTAGATACGAGTGGGACCAGTAATGAGCGTAAATGGTGGCGTCTTAGCGTTTGTAGTCATACTGAACAGTTTTCAGAGCCCCCGAATCTTTTGCAGAAAATTCTTCCAAGTATTTTAAACATTGAATGGGTATTTTACAATTTGATAATTGACTTTTATTGTGACTATAGGTGTTTCAGTTTTTTTCACCACGCGTATTTTATAATAATGGCCATTATCGTGCCATTATAATTTATAGCGGTATTTTTCTTGTAGTTTAGACATTAAAATGATTATGCACCAATCAATTACTGATTCCACAGTTAAATGTGTGCACGATTAATCGCCGGTACCGGTTCACCCGTATGCATGCGAATGACATGCGTGAACGTTTAAGCAATTCATTTCAGTCTGTCTAAAAGTTCTCTTTCAGTCGGTGCTAAAATCTGTTACCGCAAATCGTCACCCTTAGAAATACGTTGGTTTAACGTTCATTGTGCGTGACAAGGTCTACGTTGCGTACGTCAACGGCAGGTGCAGGGGCCAGACATAATTGTGATGAGCAGGCAGGTGGGGCGTTTATTGTGTACACTGTACGCGCATCTTCTATATATATGGTGACCGTGATACCTATGTGTGGTGTCAGCAAGGCAATCTCGTAGTCGTTTAAAAACAGCGGAAACACACCGTGAATCTGTCGGAGATTTTTAATTTATTACACCCTAATACTTGTAGAAAGCTACCTTTGTTGTAAGGTATCATATATAAAAAGTCAATCATTTAGCACTGCACTTACTATGCACTTCTCATATAGGGGATAGTCATTGCATCCTGACATCTGCTGTGCGGAAAAGGATCTCGAGCCCGTGCTTCTCGTGTGGGTTTGATAAAGATGTTCGGCAATTTTCCCTTGGCGACTGGGACTGTTGTACTTACGAGGGTCACGCGTGAAGATTTGGCGTGTTAATAATGGCAAGGGATTAGTCCGTGGATTACCCTAATGCTATGAAGTGTTCCCACATGCGCTCACTTTCCATGCTTTTATCGGGTAAGCGGTGTTTTGTTTCTGCACAAAGCAACGAAAAGTGGCTGGCTGAAAGTAACCTAAGGGCAAGCACGCGGACATTATGGTGCACACGTTCGACTGCTTGGATAACTGCCAGCGTATATTGATACATAAGTAACTAAGTATAAGTATCTATGTATCGTTATCCCTCGTAGGTGCCTAGATGGCACGTAAGGCAGTGACAAGAGATCTCCAACGTCGTCGGTCCTGCTGCTACTGGCGCTCATAGGGTCTATGTCCCATGTGTGTGTGTGTGCGTGCGTGCGCGTGCGTGCGTGTTGTGCGTGCGTGCGTGCGCGTGGTGTGTGTGCGTGTTTTGTGTGTGTGTACTGTGTAGAGAGAAGCAAAGAAATGGAGTGTCTGTAAATGTGTGTGTAGAGAGAAGCAAAGAAATGGAGTGTCTGTAAATGTGATCATGGCAGAATTCCAACACAGGAAGTTGGTTGTTTTATAGTTCTTTGGTGAAAAGGAAAAGTTCGGTTGGAGGGTGCTACAATTTTATGAGGGGTACTATTAAAATTCGCAATGCTCCGGATACCCTTGAGAGATTTACTGTTTATAATAACCAATTGTTACATTGTAACAAGAGCGTATAAAGAAGGTAATTCTTAATACCTTCTTAATACGCTCTTGATTGTAACATATATATGCGAGACTGCTAGGCAGATAAATTGCCAAGAATACGTTGCTCCTCAGGCCATCCTTAAAAAATTATATGTTTGCTGTCCTTCGACCGACCCACGAAAATAGCCGCGACCCAAAAGTTTTTTTTTTACATTTTTTTTTTACATTTTTTTCTCAGAGTTAAGACTGAAACACAAAGCATGTGTGGCAAACATAAGGACAGACTTATAAAATAATATAAGTATGGTACATATAGTATAAAATAACTATTATGCCTCACAAAAAAAGAAGACCTACCTACCTACCCACTAAAGAAATCATGGGTTGGGGGCAAACATAGAATTTTTTAAGGATGGCCTCACCCAGTCCCTGCACACTTTATATGGTCAGACACACTTTCAATAGATAGTTTAGGTTAGTGTAAACCATAAATGAGCCAGCTATTTATCGGTACCGTATTCTACTCTTCTTGATTGTTTGACCACATAAGACAATCCTATGTCAGTTAACTGCAGTGCTATTTCATTAATCATCTGGTACAATCTCCAGATCGGTGTTCTTCAACTGTCGCTGTTTCAGGAACGAGAAAGTTCCACGCGCATGTATTGTAACTTCTGCAATGACAGACGAGAACTTATTGTGCTATGCCTTGGTAAAGACACGCGTGTGCACGCACGCACAGTCGCGCACGCCGGACGTCTCGCTACTCGCACTAACGAGTCGGAGTCCCTAACCTATCCTAACCTACGAACCGAAGCCTAACCTAATCCTAACCTAAGCTAATACCTAACCCTAACTATCAAATAGTGACCAGGGTGTCCGGTATACGGGGTAACAGGGTAACGTTCGGGCAGTAGCACTGAGGGACATAGACTATGAGGCTGCCAGTAGGCAGCAGAGCGCGACGACGTTGGAGATCTCTTGAGCTGCCTTAGGTGCCATTAGGCCGCTACCGAGGGATAACGATAATAGTAATACTTATTATTAGTTTCTTATGTATAAAAATACGGCTTGACAGTTTATCCAAGCAGTCGAAACGTGTGCACCATAATTCGCGTGGCTTGCCTAGGTTACTTTCAGGCAGCTCATTTTCGTTTGCTTTGTCAGAAACAAAACCTGCTTACCCGATAAAGCATGGAAGTGAGGGCATGTGGGAAAACTTCAATAGATTAGGGTAAATCGGACTATCCTTGGCCATTATTACACGCGAAATCTTCAGCGCGTGACGCCTCGTAATGTACAACAGCCCAGTCGCCAGGGAAATGGCTCAAAGAATACTTTTTATAAACCACACGAAGAAGCCGAGTCGAAATATTTCCGCAAGCAATGTCCAAGGGAATATGACTATCCCTATATGAAAGTGCATAGTAATGCAGTGTAAATGATTGACTTTTTATATATGATACATTACAACAGAAGGTAGCTTCTAAAGTATGAGGTGCATAAATTAAAAATCCCGACAGATTCAGTGTGTTTTCGCTGTTTTTTAAACGACTACAGAGATTGCATGCTGACCACAGCATAGGTATACGGTCAATATTATAGAAGATGGCGTAGCAGTGTACACAATAACGCCCACGTGCTGTCATTACAATTATATCTGGCCCATAGCACCTGCGTTGCGTAGCGCAACGTAGACATATGTCAGCGACACAATGAACGTTAAACACGTATGTTCTACAGGCTGACGATTTGCGGTAACAGATTTTAGCACGACTGAAAGAGAACTTTTAGAAGAACTGAAATGAATTGCTTTAAACGTTTACGCGATGTCATTCGCAATCATAAAGGTGAACGGCTAGGGGGCGATTAATCGTGCACAATTTTGACTGTGGATATGCAGTACTTGATTGGTGATATATTTTAATGTCTAAAACAGCAGGGAAAAAGTACGCTATAATTAATAATGGCACGATAATGGCCATTATTATAAAATAGCGGTGGTGCAAAAAACGAAATGCGTATAGTCAGCAATAAAAGTCAATTATAAATTGTAAAAGACCAATATAATGTTTAATAATCTTCTATGGAAGAATTTTCTGGGCAAGAATTCGGGGCTCTGAAATGTGGCATATAACTACAAACGATAAGAGCGCACATTTAGCTCATTTACTGGTCGCACTCGTATCTAGATATAGCAGAATGTACTAGCTAATGTGAATCTGACACGTCCCTGTCACGACATGCTGGCAACCTGCTGGATGAAGATAAGATGTGGAGCCCTGTAGGCAGTCGCACATACGTCCTTCCCCGTAAGCAAGGAGCATCTTTGCTCTGTGCCCTGAGGTTGAAGAGGCTTCCTGGGGCGAGGGCTCGTCGTAGAAAAATTACGCAAGTAGATCCTCTCGTCGCTGTTCAACTTGCGGCATTTATAGCTTCCTATGCGTTGGGCGTTAGTTCTTTGCTGGGGCGAAGTTCGAATTTAAAGGATCTACAGTGCTCTGGGGTGGCGCTGCTTTCGTTCGTCACGTGGTGACAAGACAGAGAGCAGTGCAGACGAGCAGGCTGCTGAAACTGATGCTCTTCCAGCTGTCGTATTTAGATTCAGAGTACATTTACTTCTAGCGTATTTCATTGTGATGGGGGAGGGCGCGTTCGATAACATACCATCAGTAACTCCAGGTTGCTATAGATAGAATTCTGCTGTCTGTGATCTTGTTTGTTTCTTTCTTTCTTGAACTGTGATCATTTTTTTTGTTAATTTTTTTCCTTTTTTTTTTTTGTTTTTTTTTTTTATTTGACTTTTTTTTATTTTTTTATTTTTTGCTTGTATTTTTCTTTTTTTTCTTTATTATTTTTTTTGTTTGTTTGTTTATTTTTTTTTATGAATTTGGACGATGTGCAAGGCGAGACTCTTGATTTGAAATTTTCCCAGTGTAAAAAGCTTGATTTCTAATCGCAAGCTCTGGCTGGGGTTTGGTGCAGTGTTCCCGGGTGAATTGTCTGTGTGTTAAAACGGCGTATAGATGCCCGCTATATATATAGTACCTAAACGTCAAATGCAGTTATTCACTGGCGATGACGTTAATGAGATCGAGTAAAGATATCAGCACTGGGAGCTTTATCGTATCTTGAATAATATACTAATCAGGTGTGTGTCGTTGGAATTCAAGCAGAAAGTTTCTAATTTCTCGTTAGATTAGTTTACACGTGCATTGCACCTGGTCACGAAAACTCTGGCGGCCCAAAAGTTTACATATTTGTTGGCCGCGGTAGAATCAGAGAAGCACGATCATGCTTATGTAGTGTTGATTGTTAAAGTACGAGTTTTTTTACGCCAGTAAATTAAACGCGCAATCTGTTCGGCCGACGGTTGGAAAACTAATTGGACTTGACGTACGCTGCTGCGAATACAAGTTTTAAGTTTTTGCGAGATTACAGAAAAACAGGAAATCTTTCCTGGGAAGCGAACAAAAGCATCTCCTCGGTTAAACTGAGAAGTCAGCTGGCTCAAGCTAATGCCAATACTTGCAACGGAGCGGTGTAATTTTCGCACAGCCCGATAATTTGATCATATCGCGGACATCGTCAGGCTAATTTCAAATTTCCACAAGCAACAAGTGACGATGGATCACGGGTCAATAGTAGCGGCTGACACAGGAGGCAACACACACACACACAGCACCGCGGCATTTGTACGACGCGATGCGTGCAGTAGGCCGATGATGAATGGAACGCGTTGGGCCAGGTGCGGACTCTGCCTCCTTCCTCCCTCGCCCCCTCTCTTAGTTCGTGCCGTGGGAGATTGGCTGCAACGCTGTGCGTGAGCACACAACAAGCGAGCGTCCCTCCTCGATGGCAATCATCAAGTGCTCGCATCAGCGAGAACACGCTGGGCCAGCATCTTGATGAGGCCTGCTCGGCAAGGCAAAGTCCGCATTTCTAGCTTTACACCTAGTTGCATGACTAGGAAGGCATTTCTAAGGAGACTTTCAAGAATGGCTGGTGTTGTGATATCAGGAGTGTTCATAATATAGTTCCATAATAATAATAAATAATATAAATAATAATTATTATTATTTAATAATAGTATTATTATCTAATCTATATTTCATTGTAATGTCATTATGTATGTTATGTCCATATGCACAGCCAACGCGCCGTGGCAAACCCTAGTGCAAGCAATCCGGATGCAATTTTTCAGGGAGCGAATTCTAATTTAAGGCGGGGAGTGTTCCATCGAAAGAAAAAAAATGTATAAGTTGAGATTAAAAAGTATATGTTATTATTTTTAATTTATCTACTTTATTTTAATTCCATTATTTTTTTAATTTATTATTATTTTTATTTTAATATCATGTTTATTTTTTTGATTTCTTATTTGTTTTTCATTATAATGATTTTAATACTGTGTTGGGATGGATGTATGGAGATCGGGATGATGGGATGGCATGGGAATGTGATGGCAGGGATGAGATGGATGGATGGGATGGCATGGATGGATGGCGATGAGATGGATGGGGATGCTGGATGGGATGAGGATGGGCGATGGATGGGATGGCATGAAATGGGATGGATGGATAGAATCGATAGATAGTTAGATTTTGCGTTATTTTCTTTCACAAGCGTCACAACTGAGTAAGCCACTGATTTGAGATGATTTTTCCCGGGCAAGCGGGTATCCGCTAGTGGCTATATATGACAATCTAGTGATATATTCGTAGACGCTCAGTAACACATGGAGAGGCATACGCCCATCCATGCATTATGTACAGAAAGAGCGAGAGGAGAGAGATAGAGGAGAGAGAGAGAGAGAGAGAAGAGAGGAGAGAGAGAGAGAGCGAGAGAGAG